CCAGTGCGAGTGATTTGGCTGCGAGTGCGTTACCCGAGGAAACGTTAATTATTAGCAGTTATCTACGCTTTTTAACTTCCTCTGCCAGACATTTTGATTTCCACTGCCATCTTCCCATTTTAAAGTACTTTTGGTAAATATAACTCGCTTACCTGCAAAGATTCGGTGAGCAATTCCTCTTCTCCTTCACGTCCACGCTCACCTTCGAAACGACATGCTGTCTGCATTGTTTACATCTCGTATCTGAGTCGAGAAGCCGTGTTATTTCAACTGTGTAAAGATGGCTGACGCCCGGGGTTCGAAAGTGGACGGTGAATATGATTCTTTTTTTCGATATTGATTAAGACCATTTACCTGCCATTTTATGCTTTACCCATAGCAATTGTTCTCAGATAAGTTAAAAAAGAAGCAATCCATGCACTAAAAAGGCGTTTTTAATCCTATTTTTTGTCCCTTTAACTCCAAGGTGCTGGGGTGAGACTATGTTGAATACACCAAATGTTCTATGAAGCAGAGGGTATTGTATGCTTATCAATAGTTTGACTTGGGTTTACATTTTAATCATTTCCCTGTAAACTAGAGGGAGGGCGTGAGGATTTCAGCCCTGGGCCTTTCTACATAAGTACAGAGATGGAAGGGACAGGCTGTTTGTAGACAGAGGTGCTGTTTGGATTCGATGCATATATTTTTTTACAGGTTGTTTTGTGCTTTGGGTTCAGTTTTCAGCATACAGGTTTTGCTTTACTCTTGTGGTGAATATCAGTTTGGGTTTGATTACAAGTATAATGAATGAATATGACAAATTGATATCAGTGGTGGAGAGTTTTTAGATGGTGATTTTGTATTCAAGGGGTATGATTATTCAGTGGAAGGAAAATTATAATTAACCACTTCTATTTTTGTCATTTTCCAGGAGGGCAAGAAAAAGTTTGACAAGCAAACAAGAGCTTTTTGCCAGTCCTTGGAGAAGTTTCTGAATTTAAAGACGAAAGCCACTGACAATGTGTTACAAGAGGTAAATGCTCGCTCTCTCTCCCACACACGCACGCACGCACGCATGCACACATACACATACTATGGAATTCTTTATTAAATCTGCTTGTTTTCTCCCCAGGCTGATGCAGCTCTGCAGATGGAGAGGAAGCACTTTCAGCAAGCCTCTATGGAATATGTGTTGATGCTGCAGGAAGTACAGGAAAGAAAAAAGTTTGAATTCATTGAAATAGTAAGTATATTTACAAATCAAGGTAGTATAAAAGAAAATAGCAATTTTTACATCGCCTTATAGAAAAATATATTGCTGTGAAGCGAAACATATTTGTGTCTGCAGTTATGATTGCCCTTGACCAGTTACGTCATCAATAATTTCTAGTGTATAACTTTTGATTAAGGACCTAGAAAAGGGCCTGGTTAGGGCTGACTAGAACCATTTGACCATTTTTTTCTCCGATGACACCTTTTAACCTTAATGTTTGCCTTTAAGTAGCTACAAATGGCCGATTTTCTCCCTCACTAAACTGTACACAGGCAAGTCCATAATTGGCGGTAATCTAAATTAAACATTGATTGTTTACAAAATAAATATTGGGTCTGTAAAGGGGCACGTGTGGCTCTCTGTCTGGCCATGACAAAGTCGGTGAACCTGGAAATGTGCAAACCTTTAAAATCGCCTGGGGACCGCAGGATACAATGTGGAGTCAGGAAGGCGTGGATGTTGAAACCAGAAGCCAATAATACCTCCATTTTACATCTGCTTAATACACTGGTGTATTGTTCCTAACAGATATTTTGGTCAGCTTTTGATCAAATGCAAATTTGGAGCAAGGTAGCGGTCAGGTTCATTACTGTGATAAAACGATCAGGATTTGAAAAAAAAAAATCCAATTAATAACAGTCTAGTAAAGTTGACTTGGTATTTGTCATGGGATCTATTACACTTATGATTTTTTATACCGTTTAGTACCTTTTATGCCTTTTCAGTGTTGTAGAATGTCAGGCAGGGAGGTGACAAAAGACCTTGACTGTGTCAACACTGAGCTGACCTTGCAGGTGTTTCTGATACTATCAATGAAACATAGTCACAACTTTCTTTTCACCATTCAGACCAGTTCCCTTGCTTGCGAAAAGTCATTGATCTCCTCTCCCCTGGCTTGAAATGTATCTTTGTATTAAGTCTTTACAGAAGGTTTTCATTTGGAAATATACAGCCTTTTTTTATGTGAGGGAATATTTGTTTAGAAGCTTTTATGATCTTAAGAATTATAAAAAAAAGTCTGTTCTTTCAGTGTATTTTGTCTAAAAACGAAGTATGTACGAAAGGGAATAAGTACAGTTCCAGTGGGCATTAATGAAGTTTGGGTATAAGATGGAGAATGTGACAATACCCGACTGAGGTAGAGGAATTGTTTACGATGGTGAAATGAGGCGGAAATCCGACCGATTGCGTTTCACACAGTGGTGGGTGGAGACCACATGCTTAAGTCAACAGAAAAAAGTTTGATACCAAAACCCGAACTGTTGCCCCATTTATTAATTATTGACCATTACCTGTAGCATAGAGCTCCTCAAGGATATTGCAGTATATTCTGGGTTATAGAAACCAAAGTAATTGTGATTTGTGAATTTGGAAAAAAAATATTTATGCATCAGGATATGACGATCAGACTTATTAAAAAGACGAACACACCAGGTCCTGTAACTCAAACTACAACGAATGAATTTGAAAGCAATGGATGCTTGGACTCATTTTCAGGCAATTTTGTGTAGATTGGCAAAAATGTAACACTAGTAACAACAAGGATGTCATAAAATAGTGTGAAAATCTGATAAATGGACCCATTTTAGGACGAGAATTTGAGTTAGTGAACTTAGAAAACTGTACAAGGATGTGACAGCCAGCCTGGAATAGGTTTGGATTTCTTAGCTTGAACTGATTTCCAGGATTTCTAGTTTATGGGATAAGGAATAAACAGGATGATGTATTGATATTAATTATTTTTAAAAAAAAGTGCATAGATTAATTGTATCAGTCTGTTTGAAATGCCAGGAACTGATAACAAAATAGTTGGTAAGTTGTAAACGTGTCAGTTTTTATTTTTATTTTCTTTTTTTTTTTATGTGTGCATGAGTATGAACTTACAAGGCTAGTGTGTTAAATTTTATAACAGATTCACTGTTGGGGTGAAAATTGCTGTAAGATTTTTTCTAATGTAGCTGGACATCTTACGTTAGACCAAAAAAATTTTAAATGAGTTACATTTGGATGATATCTATTCAAACTAAATTTGAATTAAGATTTTGTGAGTATGAACTCAGTTTGCGCAATTTAGTTTAATGTGTAATACTACAATATCTGTCTTTTTGTTTCAGTTACTGGGTTTTATGTATGCCTGGCTGACATTTTATCATCAAGGTAAGTCTTCATGCTGTCATTAGAGCTCAGTTCAGAACAGGACTCACTTGGACAGTAGATTGACTAAACTGTGTCATCTGGATTTTTTTCTTCAACTTTTGTCCATGTGTATCCACAGACAGGTATAGTTTTGGGCAAGAAATTTGACTATAAGGACATGTTCACAACTTTGAAGGGGAGATCTTTTGAGACCAAATTGTATGTATGATAACCCCAACTAGTCTGATAATTTAAGTATTAGTAGGCCTTGTATAATGGACTTTCTATATGACTTCCTTCTATGACGTATATAACTGAAAAAAAGGAATTTAAAATTTCCTTGATGTTTGTCGGAATATTTATTGAGTTCCAAACTCAGAAAACGCTCAGCAAGCAACAGTGTTAAGACTTTAGTAGTAATTTGGCTTTAACCATTTCAAGAATTGTTAGCATATGTAATTTTATCAGCTCATTTAATAAGGTTTAAATATGTTAAATTTGTTGTTTGCTTGTTTTAGGGCATGAAGTAGCTCAGGAGTTTAAACCATACATGACAGAGTTACAAGTAAAACTACAGAAGGTAAAGAAAAAAATTAATAAGACAGAAAGAGTAGTTATTAGTTGATGGAATAATGGTTTAGTTTGGTAAATGGCATAATAAATCCTTACAAGATTTTGTTTTCAAATGTTAAAATTTTTTGAAGAATACTCTTTTTTAATCAAAGAAAAAATATAAACAATTTATATTTGAGTCTACAGATAGTTGATATTGAGTTAAAGAAAAAGGCAGAACTTTTTTAAAAAATATTTTTCAGACTCGTGACAACTACGAGACAACAAGGACAGAAGCTGAGACGCTAATGAACAAAATGTTGGAGGTGCGTGGCACGGTAATGTGGAGCTTGCTTCTTTGCCTGCTGCCACCAGGGGGTGCTGGGGTACTCTGTCCTTTTTACCACAGCATGCTGGGATACTTCTTTTTGGCTTAACATGCTGGCAGTGCTTCTTTGAAGTATTTGAAGCTGATATTGCAAGCTATTTTCTATTGGGTTTTAATAGTTGGTCAATTAAAATGTAGTTTCTTAGAAATAAGGGTGATTTTTAATGCCCTTTTTTAGACATTTCAGCTGGATATGATTTCTGTAGGAAATACTGTTTTTGTTTAGGCTGTGGCATGCAACCTTTTGCTATATAGGTTAAATTGTATGAAAAAGACATGAGACATACAGTTGTTCAGCAAAAATGTTATAGGAATCCAAACTGACTGAGAATTAAACAGCAAAGTCTTATCATCTGCATAGTAAATCTGCACCTAAATACCACGTCCTTCTCCTGGTGTAGTCTTCATATAATGTACATCATTTCTGTCTCGCATTCACGCTCCAGTCACATTTCAGAACAAAACTCATTGTCACAACTCTCTTCTCCTTTCTCACCATTATTTTTTATCTAGTCTCTTCAAACATGAATAGGTGGCACCATTGTGCAGGTGAACATTGCAGATGCCAAGACAGTCCCGATCCACATTAAGATTATCCCAAAATTCCCCCTGGTGGTGGCTGTTGCTGCTGCTGCTTGCAGCTTTTAAATATGTTATAGATGTTCAAATTTGTGGCTCCTGAACTGGGACGGCTCTAGGAAATATCTGTAAAGATTCCACTCATTAAGTAAAGTTTGTCATTAAATTGAAAACTTTTGTGATTACAATTTTCAACTTTGGTAGAAAGGGTTAAGGTTTTTCATGTGTTGGCATGATAGATATTTCCTGGTCTTTGCTATCTAGATGCCAGTTTTAGAGCAACTTCTGTTTACATCTTGTTCAATCGTTTCTTGTTGTAAATGAACTTAACTTGAACATAACAAGTGTTCAGACCAAGTGCTCCAAGATTTCATTGCCATTGCAGACGTACTTTTGGAATAATGTTCATATTTATTTGAAAGAAAAACTGTTGCCAAAAATCTATCGTTCTGGAAGTTTTGAAAACTTGGAGTATTTTTTTTTACTAAGGTTACATTTTACTCTTAAAAATGCAATGTATTTTCCTTCAGTTTTACAAGGCTCTGATCTCTAGTTCCAGTGCTTTTCCTGCCTTTCCGAGTACAATTTTATCAACGTTTCCCACATCCTGTACCGTCCATTTTACTGCAATGGTTTGCTATTTGGGGCTTGCTGTTGTTGCACAGAGTGTTTGAATTGTTACAACTACTCTCATTGGTCAGTTTGAAGCTGTTATGGCTGCTCTCATTGGCCATAGGAAGTTGGAATAATGTATTTGGAGCCACGATGTGTCACTACTGAAGTTTTCTATTTTTCACTGTTGGAGCTAGTCACAAAAAATAAAAATAATATATTAGAATTGGAAAAAAGATAATAAATATTGATTGGATTTATGTGACTGTTGGTATCAACACTTTCAAAAATTCAATATTCAGGTTTTCAATTTTTTGTGACAAGAATAAGCTTCAATGATGCACATTTCTTTACATTTCTTACATATTTGATATCCTTTCTACACATAATTATTGGGATTTCCTGTCATTGTTTTTAAGTGTTAATGTTTTGTATGTTAGAAGAATTAATGTGAAGTTTAAAAAAAAGGTTTTTGGGTCTAGAAAATATGGCTTGTCAATACTGCATGAATTTTTTCATGATGTTCAGATTGACTTCAGTATGCCATGATGTTAAATGTTGATTTTTTTTAAAGGATGACTTTTACGGTAATGATATATTTCAAATATAAACTCTATGTGAATGATTTGTTGAAAGAACAAGAAGATAAAAATTAATTAAGCCACATAAAAAATTCAAATGTAACTGTTTGGAAATATAAAATTTTCAAAATCTTACTTCTCAAGCATTTGAAACGCATTTAAATTTTGGTCGGGAAGCAAAAATAGAAAGAACAAAAGAAATGTAATAATTCTGGCAGTGCAGGTGCTTGGATTTTGTTTGCATGCAATGTGTGTATTATTTATTTTGGTTCTTTAATTGTTTGAATTGATTAAACATGATTAATGTTGGCATGCTGAAATGTTGCTGCTGGCGTGGTGTTGTATTGTTACTGCAAGCATTGTTTTGTATTGCTGGTGTTGTGTTGTCACTGCTGTTATTGCTGAAAAAACCCATTGCCTCTTTCTAATTTAAATTTTTTAATTTCATTTTTTAGAAACCAAACATAGAGCCAACCACCAACAAGAACTACACAAGACAGGGGTACCTTTTCTTAATGGAAAAGAGTAGGTGTTTTGTGTTTATTTGTTATGATCTAGATTATAAAGACATGAGATTTTTCTACTAAATCACAAAAAAAGTTTTTATTTTTAAATTTAATTCTGATGGGTCCTAAGACAGCCTCCAAACCCTGTATGATTAAGTGTACGACACCATGGTTAATTATTGATTTTTAATAGATGTTTATTTATATATTATTATAATTTTTTTCTGAAAAACCTAGGCTCTTATCTGATTATAGCCTTATGGTACAGATTTTAGTTCATTATCTATATAAATTCTGTACGTGCTTAAATTCTGCATGTGCCTGCTGGTGATGTCTGAACTTCAGTGACATGTGACAGTTTTGTCTTCCTAATCCTAAATTATAGCAGGGTTGTAGTAGAATTGCTCAGGGTGTTAGATGTGACAATACTTCAGGTGTTGTACAATGTTGTGTGCCAGTGTACTATATTTAATACCAATATTTAGATGTGACAGTCTTAAATTTGCCATTGTGTTAGGTTTTACAGTGTGTAGTGTATGAAAGTGTATAAGACATGACAGTTTGTCAGGTGTGACAGTATGCTAGATGTGACATGGTGTTAGATGTGAAAAAATGTAAGGTCTTTTCAGGCTGTGTTATTATTGTATTTGATATACTTTCCAAGATATGGCCATGAGTTTTGCATGATATTAATTATATATTCTGAATGCAATATTTGTTATAATTTGGTTCCCTTTCTGTGATAAAGCAGTAGGCTTGACATAACAAGATAGCCAGCCCTATGTGTGGTTGGAGTCATTGGTTTTAGATCTAGAAATTATGATCCTGTTTTTCTACACTCCAGAGGCACTGGGTACAACCTCATGGACCAAATACTACTGTATGTATCAGAAGAACAACAAAATACTGACCATGATCCCCTTCAACCCTGTGCAGAATGCCAAATTAGTAAGTATTTGCACATAATGGTTTTAAGTGTGTACCTGTAATACGCTTTTTTTTAATAAACTTTTTTTTTTTTTTGTCAGTTTGCCTAATATGCTAAAATTATTTAAGCCGTTTGTGTTGGAGTTGATAATAATTACAGAAACAACAAAGATTTCAGAATTTTGCTGTTTAGTCACTATAACTATTTTATTTTGTGGAAAAACTTAAATGGCTGTTTAATCAACCACAATTTTCTGTTCTCTTCAGCCGAGCAGTACAGAAACCATGGTTTTAACCTCCTGTGTCAGGAGAGCAACAGATTCCATAGACAAAAGATTCTGTTTTGACATTACTGCACAAGACAGGTAGGTTGCCTTCTCAAGTGTGCCCCCCCCCCCCCCCTCCTTTCTTTTGATTGACAGAAAGACATGGATTATAAAATTGTTGTGCTTGACTTAAATTGAAAAAAAAGCTATGCCTTGCACTATTGTCAAATGTATTTTTTGAAAATACCTCTATCCTAAAAAAAGGTAAATGTAAACTTCCAAAGCTTTATTTAGGGAGGAGGGGTGCAATGCAAGTTCCTAACAGAATTTCCAATCAATTTCAATCTTAAAATTCAATCATTTATGTTAAACCATTGTAGACAAGGGACATACACCTTACAAGCTCTATCAGAAGAAGATAGAAGTCTGTGGCTGGATGCCATGGATGGGAGAGAACCTGTAAGTACAGATTATAAACAGAATATGCTTGGTATCCTGTTGAATCTTATGAAGCTGAATAATAAAAAAATAGCATCAATTTGTTTTATTTTATTTTAGTATTTGTTTTATTTGATAACACATATCCTCTTTTATTTCAGATATATTTAATGCCAAAACAGAAAGTAGAAGAGAGTAAGTGATATTATATGTCAGTTTATTATTATTATTATGGTGTCAATGATTTTATCAGGGCTAAAACTAATAAACAAATTCCTGAGAGTATTTTTTTAGGGATATGAAAGATAGAAATGTATGAATGATAAAGTTTCATACTTGCAAACAATTTATTTGAACAAAAGCAGAGGGGCTCTTTTCTAAGGAACGTATTAAAGGTGTCCTCTTAAATGTAACACTGTTCTGTTTCAGGTTCATTAGATGATACAGGTTTCCTATTTATTCAAAGATGTATAGATGCTATAGAAGCAAGAGGTAGGCTAACTGACACACCTTTCTTAAAGCATACTATCATGATAAATACTCATTTAATCAGTTATAGTTATCTGATTGAATATGGGTGTTTTTTTTTCTACCAAAATTAAGTTATGGACATGCCCTGAAATATAAAAATAACATCATTCTTTGTTCCTATATGTTTGTATTATGTTTGTGATCATCTGATATAAGATTATATTTTCTTCTCTTATCAGAACTATAATGAATATAACAGAATTGAAATTATACTGAATGTTATCCAGTAAACATGATTTCCACTTCAGGTCTTGAGGACCAAGGACTGTACAGAGTTGTAGGAGTCAATTCTAAGGTTACTAAACTTGCACAAATGGGGTTAGGTAAGCTAAGTTTCACAAATTTAAACTTTGTATTTTTATTTATTTCAAAAATAATATTTTTTCATATTTTCATACATTTCATGTATTCATACAAAATATAAAATAACAACAAATTCTTTAACATTTTAATGATAATAAAACTAGACACATGAATATTCCTGTTATTCTGGCTTAACAGATAGGCGGAAACTGGACAAGTTGAACTTAGATGATGAAGAAATTAAGACCATTACCAGTGCACTCAAGAATTACTTCAGGTAAGGGAAATATCTGGATCTGATTAATGTAAAAAAGGCTGAAAGAAATCTTGAATGTGCACTTACCTTTTACTTTAGGAAATGTATGGAAAGAAAAGAATGAAAGAATGTCCCTTAACAATTTGGTGAAAATCTTAATTTTAGTCTTTGACAGTCAGAGTCTTTATTATTCAGTTAATGTGCCTTTCTGTCATAATTATATTTATCGGCATTTGACAAGAACCTTCTCCTTAATGAATCCTTTGCTTAATTTATTTATTTATTTGCTTTCAGGTCCCTCCCAGAGCCTATAATGACATTTAAACAGCACACACAGCTCCTTGCTGCTGCCAGTATGTTCCACAGATTTGTAATCTAATAAAATAACTTTAGTTTGAACAGTTTTTGCCACAATCTTTAAAGCCTTATTTTATTAGCCTGTCTTTGATTTACTGGCATTTGGCATTGTTGACATGCATTCTGTTAGAATATAAGCAATTTTGACAAGTTTTGATTTCGAATTGCAGTGTTCTAAAGTATATGATATTTCATGTTCTTTAGATACTACTATTTTTGTAACAGAGTCCATGAGTTTTTAAGGAAAATCCTGGATAGGAAACCTTTAAAATTCTTATGCTGAAATTTTGTACCTTTCAGAATTGGAGCAGAAGAAGGATCGTGTGAGAGAAATCCACAAACTAGTCCACCAACTCCCAGAGGCCAATTTCAAGTTTTTACGGGTTCTTATCAAGCATCTCAGAATGTAAGATAATCATTTATAAGTAATGAAGACATTTTTGTCTTGTATATGAAGATTCCCATGAGACATTTTTGTAGACATTTATTTTATAGTGTATATTTAGACTTAAACAAAATAATTGTAGATCATAGTTTTCTCTTTGTTTTCTTTTCTTTTTTTCATTGTTTGGACATCCATTCGCACATTAAACAGTAAAATGTTTATATAAAAGAACAGGCTGCCTCAAAATTCTTTTCCCTTTCAAGTCAAAGAAACTTCTCAACTATTTTCTTTCTGTTATAGGGTGTCTCAGAATAAGTATAACAATTCAGGTCACAGAAACTTCTCGCCTGCTTTTTTCATCTGACAGGGTGTCTCAGAATACATATAACATTTCAAGCCACAGAAACCTACTGCTCATTTCTCTTACAGGGTGTCTCAGAAGCATGCAGTGAACCTGATGACAGTGTCCAATGTTGGGGTGTGCTTTGGGCCCACACTAATGAGGCCGGAGGAGGAGACAGTGGCAGCTATCATGGATATCAAGTTCTGTAACATTGTGGTAGAAATTCTTATTGAGAACTATGACTTGGTAAGTCGAGATAGGATTATTGTTTATACTGTAAGAACATGGAGTTTTGATCTTTGATGTTGTATAAAGTTAAAATTGTTATGGTTTTGAGGGAAAAGAACAGAGTAGTCTAGTTAGACAACAACCATTGAATCCTAAAAATGAAAACATTAATAGCTTTCATATGGATGATTTTATTTTTATAAGTATTTTATCTTTAACATTTATTATTTATATTTGTATTAACTCACTTATAATTAATTATATGATTTTGTTTTACATTTTAATAGTCTTTTTTTATTGTACAATCCAGATCTTCTTAGGTGCAAGAAATGATAATGACAATGAATATACTGACTTTGCTAAGGCTCTTCTTCTTCCTCTTCTTCTTTCTCTTATTGTTATTAATGTATGTATTATACTCCTGTAGATATTTGGAGGTTCACCAGACCAATCTGAGAATGGTCCAGCCAGCCAGGTCCCAGAGAGTCCTAGAAGGTCTCTCCCAGTGCCTGAGCATGTCCAGTCACCCACTAACTTGGCGCCAGGTAGGGGCCATCAAGGTTTATTATACTATCTTGTGTATTTTAAAACTGTCCTCTCTAGGCTGGTTTAAAATTTAAATGATTTGGGGTCTAAATGCTTGTGGGATAACCAAATTACGTTACAAGGCCCAGAAGGGTATATTTGAAGTCCTGCCCATAGAAACAGGCTGCACCTTATATTTTTTTTTTCAAGTTTGAAAGCTTTCAAACTTGGCCAATGGTTAAAACTAAGGATTTTTATGAAGGTGTACCATTGTAGTCATTTTCAGAAAGTATTTTGTATAATGAATCATGAGCAAGAGTATTAGCTGTTTTACTTTGAAATAATAATATAATATAAAGAATCTCTATCTAAAAATTTTTGCAGTACAAATCACAGCAATCAGTTTCAGTGCAGCATGGCTTTTGCTTAAACAACGACAGTGTCATGTGTACAGACCGTGTGCTTAATTTTAAAGCAGTTCACTAACAGTTAACCTGGTTTGGCGTGTTGAAAATTTTGGCATTCTTTCCTAGTGTAAATGTTTGAACAAACCTGTTTTGAGAATTTCAAAATTATTTCCCCTTTTTCCAAAAAAGCCCACTTCCGCTAATATTTTGCTGTTTGAAAATCCTCTTTGAGCTATTCCCCTTCTCTCATTTTCACCAAGAAATATAATGAATATATTAAGTAAATTAGTGGGAAAAAAATCCCAAATTGCCCAATGACATATGAAAGTTTGAAACATGTAGCAAAGTTAAGTGAAGCCATTCATAGTACAGTTGTTACATTTAAAGGTGGGTATGATACACACAATGCTTCCATTAACCAGCTTTATGTTTAGCTGCAGCTTGTTTTCCCCTTTCCCCACCAGGTGGCCCCACATCTCCAGGGAGAAACTACGCAAACTTGGATAACAATGTGAACAACAATTCTTCTGGCTACAAAGGTCTCGACGCGGGGCAGACATATGCTCAATACAGGAGTCGTCTGCGGCCAGTCGCCATTTATAATCCTGGAACTCCTGGTAGGTGGCGCTCTGTAAAGCAGATCAAGCCTGTTTTTCGTGTATTGTTCGATATGCTTAACATACTGTAAGTGCATTAAAGGTGACATTCCTCTGCATTACTGGTCTTTGTAGCTCTCTGGGAAAATGGAAACTGGGGTCTGTTTCACACAAAAGTCCGAAGTCACTTCTTGGTCTAAAACCATACACTAGTACTAAGACTTAGCTGTCTAAGTTGCATTTCTCAGAGAATTTTAAAGGCAGCTTATTTTATTAAGTGAGTTATTTAGTCTGTAAAAATTGATTGACTTTTCAAAGGTATTAACTCTTAGTGATGACTTTAGCTCATTTAGGAATGTCAAATACTTTTCCTATGTTTCAATCACTCTTTTACACCCTTATATTATTGACCAGAAGGGCAAATTCAAATTTTGAATAAATAATTATTTAAGCAGTCTATGTTTAACCCAAGAACAGTGAACATTTTGTGAAAAGGGCCTCAGGTAGAGATTCTTACATAGAACTGGGCATTGAGGGTGATATTTCCTTTATGTATGGAAGGCATTAAGTTCTTACAAATAGCACAATCATTGGAATGGTAAAACAGTTCAGAGGTTGTATTTATTGTGTTGTATTGTTTTTGTATCTATAAATTGAAGCATTTGGTTATCAACTTGTCACTGCATCTGTTGCAATATTCTTTCCTTAGTGAAAAGTGCATTCATTTGGTTATAAAATCTTAGCGAAGCAACCCATTGTCAACAAATAGGTGATAATTTAGAAAAAATTACATGTCACGTGGTTTTTCATCACCCATAGCCAACATAAATTGTCTTTTAAATTAAGAAGATATTTTCTGATGTTCATGTGAGCCTAGAAAATTTGTACATTGCACCATTTTTTGATGTGTTCTAAGTAGAGCCTTTTATTATTATTATAAAGCAGCGAGATGGAAAAGCCCAGGCAGCAGTAAGTATAAGGGCTATGGGTATATCAGTCCTACAGGAGTCATGGACAGGGGTGTGCACATGTTCATGAACACTGTATTTGATTTGGAAATGCCCTGTTCTTGGGAGACCAGGATATGGGTTTGAGTACAAGTTAACTTCATAAAATATCTAGACTAAAAAATAATAGAATAATATCAATACTTTTGAGGGACTGACAAAAAGTTTGGCCATTTTATACAGTAACTTGAGACTACATACTATTTGGGATGTTGGCTTGAAGACAAATGAATATATCATGATGGACACCCCTGTGGATTCTAGTATACATGTCAGGTAGTAGATATATCTTATAAAAACAATTCTAGGCCAGCTTACTACATGTGCAGGGATATGGATTTGTCAAAAGAAATGGATAAGATTGAGTAATTAATATGATAATGTTGAGGTGTAAATATTTGAGAAAAAAATGACATTATTGTTGCTGTGGTAAGTTAAATAGATTATATGATAATTGGTTGCAAGACAGGATTGAATTCAAGATTTATAATGTCCAGCTATATTAACTGACTTTTTTCTGCACTTTGATGATCTTAATTCTTGTACTAATCGTGAAGTTGTTACCAACCTTGATTTAATGAAGGTTGTTGCTTTTCTTTACATGTTATTAATATGTCAGTGTTGGTCAGTGTTGACATGTTTACATTTCTTGTGCTTCAAAAGGCAGCAGTTTGTTAAAGCATACATAGCTGCAGTGGTTGTTACCTCAGTTGAAAGCATTAACATAAATTTGGTATTTGTTCTAAAATTATTAATTTTCGATGATAATTAAACACGTGCACGCGCACACAAACAGAGAGAGAAGGGGGAGGGAAGCATCCACATTCACTATTGCAAAATGATAGTAAAGGGTATTTTCAGCAAGTTGGCAGCATTAAAAAAGAAAACAAGAAATAAATTACATAGTTAAGGGCAAATTGTTTCTTAAAAAGCCTAGAAATGCTGGTTTAGAGTCTTTTGTGTGCTTTTCAGTTTTGCTTCAACTCAAAGCCAATGAACATACTTTTAAAATATTTATCTTCACCTATTTTGAAACTTCCTATTCCTGCCAACGGTGGTTTCAAGTGTGTATTTTTCTCTACCCTTTAATCATGTTTAATCTTTATGCTATTATACCTGACAAAATATACACTAGTTCCACAGTAAGTATTTGGAGAAGGGTTTTCTGGGTTTCCAGCTGTTCATTTGTGGATGACACCTATGTACTGGTAATAGGTAAAGACCTCTTGGCAATGCCCTTAGAAACTTGGATTGAATTTCTGCAGTTTTGATAACCGATCCATTTCCACATTTTGACCGTTCATCCTTGGTGTTGATATTTTATTCATTTTTTTTTTTTTTACTACGTGTGCCATAAATTCAGCAGCTTTGTCTCACAAGAAAGAAAGGATGAAGTGATGATTTTTAAAATGAAAGTTAATGAAAGAAACGATGATCTTTGTTTTTTAAAAGCATTTTTTAGCATTGATTGGTGGAGCCATTGAATGACTGACTCAGAGTTATGACCTTAGGTTCTTCCAACAACAACAGCAGCTTTAAATCAAAGTTACTACAATTTAAGTCTTTCATTTTTCACAAGACAACCTCATCAGGGTACAAGGCTTTAGGTGTTATAATAGCCCCTACCTGGGAGCACAGTTTTAGCTGTTGTTGCAAGAACCTATGATTATTACAAATATAACTTTGAGTGCACAACACAGCTAAGAATTTTTTTTAGTTACGTTTTTTCTATATATTCATGCAATGTCACTCCTTTCAGCTGATGTGTACAGCAGCACCAGTAGCAGTTCAGAATCCCTGAGTTCCAAGTCGTCCAGCAACAACCAATCCAGTCCTTCCATCAACACTCTGTCTCAGTCTTCTCCCCAGCTGGACGTGAGTCGCCGCCCCCTCACCCAGCCCCCCATGTATGCTAACACTGCTGCTCTGGCAGACCAAGGTAACTTGTGGCATTGTTTTAGGTGTGATAAGGATTGTGTTAGGTGTGACGTTGAAAATGTGTCGGATGTGACATTAGAATTGTGTCAGTTGTGACAGCAAGAGGAAATGATGAGTTTATTGGGTTTATTGACAAAAGTGTATGGTGACTGGTGAATGTATTTATTTAGCTTTACAAGATGTGTTTGGTGCATTGATGAATGTGGCAGATAAAATGGTGATGAATGTGCTAGTGGTTCTAGATAAATGTGATAAAAAACCTTGGAGAATGTGTTAGATGTGACAGTGGAAAATTAGTAAATGTGTTAGTTCTAGGTGAATGTGTTAGATGTGGCAGTGGTAAATGTGTTAGTTGTTCTAGATAAATGTGTTGGATACCTTGGTGAATGTGTTAGATGTGACAGTGGTAAATGTGTTAGTTGTTCTAGATAAATGTGTTAGATACCTTGGTGAGTGGCTGGCTGTGATCATGATTTTGGTGCTAGTTTCCCTAGAAGAAATGAGCTACATTGGTGAGTAAGATGATACTGGGTGTGTCAAATACGACTAAAGTGTGCCAGGTGTGATGATAGATGTTACAGTGTAAGTGTGATGGGTGACTGCTTACCAGTGCAAGCAAGGTAAAATATCACTCTTGTTTGTTGTGATTTTTGTAATGCCAAATATATATAATGTTCTGTCCACATTTAGACACAAGGTAAGCTGGAGTGTTTCATCACCATGTTCCAATAGTGAGAATAATGAAATAGCACTTAAATATCCTCTGCATGTAATTTTTAAGCAGAGAAATGTCAATTCAGTTCTTCTCTACGTTTTCATCCTTTGTCAAAAATAACAAAATTCCCTTCATTAGCCCAATTTAATTTTCTTTGATCTTCTGTGAATGTTTTTGATATTATATTTTGATTTTAAAGTTATTTAAAAAGCTTTTGTATAAATCAAGATATGAAGTCCCAATAGGTGTTTTTCTTGGCACATTATTTTATCTTCATTTATTAATTACATAAAAAAAATCTGCTGTTGCTAGTAGTCTGTTGATATTTCTTCCCAAAAACCACTTGAGATCAGAGATCAAAAAGCATTTCCCCCATTTTCTTCCTATTAACCACAGTATTTGTTAAAAGGCTACCTGTCTTTAAACCCTTGGTTTTGATTTCCGTGTTGTGTGATTATATTTTCTGTCTCTGTGGAATGGAATCTTATCTAACCTAATTTCAATATTGACAGAGTGTGTTTTCTGTTCAGGTAGATTGTGATGCTTTCAAAATTATCTGGACATATTTTAATTTTTTTTCTCCTTTCAAAAAATTTTTTATTTTTTTCTTTATTTTGTTTTTAGCTTAACTTTTTTATAATGGAGGAAATGTTTTTGCACCAAAATGCTTGTAAAGATGTTTAGTGAATTGAATAGATGAAATACTTGTAATTCATTGTCTTGAGCTTTCTGGTTTACAAAAAGATAAAATAAAAGACAAATGGGCCTAACTAAGTATTAAAAAAAAAAAAAAAAAGCATTGTAGCTTTTAAAATTATTGTATCTAAAATTATTGGGATGCTTGAAAATGAAATCATAACCTAATAAATTCTACAAAAACTTAAAGGTATATAAAGGAAGAAAACTTGTTCAATGTTAGTCAGTTATGAACAATGTTTTCAGATGTTGGTTTTATTGTAATGTTTACTAGAATAGTATCTCTCAATGTCTGCTTCTAGTAGTAATGGAGGTTTCATATCTTGAAGTGGCTATTTAATAACGGACCCTTCATTTCTAGTAGTCTAGATATAGTTAGTAGACAAAAACCATATTGAAACTTAAACAAATAGATACTGCTGCCTTCTGTTAGGAGTTATGAATTATTAACAAGGGTGTAGAAGGATATGATTAAAATTCTTTATCTAATGGTGTTAATTTATAGTATTATTATCTGTTTGATCATGTATACTTTTCATGGTAGCATTTATTGTCTGGAATTATTTGTAAGTGTTATTTGTCTAAGTGTGGAACTTCTTCTGTTTTGTCCAGTAAGTTTCCTCATTTCCTGCCATCTTGTTTGACCAGTTGTAGCATGCTGAGCAGTATGTCTTGTGCAAATTTATGATGTCCCACATCAAAACGAAGAAAAAAAATTGTTATTTTATAAGTTGTTTATTTATTTATTTATTTATTTATTTGTTTGTTTATTTTATTCATTTATTTGCTTATTTAAATTTAAATTGACTTGCCTATTACNTGATGACCATTTAAGAAAAACTATGTCACTTACTGTTCTCAAACTTACAGGAAAGAAACATGGGACTAAAATACAGCTTCAGTAGGCAATGCAGTCTGTTTGGTAATTCTTACTGCCAGTTAAACGGTTTCACATATTGGCATTTTCAAAGTGTGACTTTGAAGTTCCACGGGCTTGTTTATTATTGCATCAAAATTGGCAAAATGACCTCTTTTGCATCCTTTTTTCTGTTATTTTGTCTGTACATTTGACAGCTTTGCTGCCTTGTTTATTATAACATTCTATTTAAGCTAAATGTACTAACACGTCTCTTGAATAATGTTGAAAAATATCATGAAACCAGAATGTCTCATGCTGTTTCTTCTTTGACCTGCATCTGTCAGCAAGATGATTATGAAACTAATTTTACAAAATAGGCTCTACTACAACTTTATTTCTGTTTTGGTAGTTAATTTTAAAATTGAATTTGAAAAGCTCATATAAGTTATGTGTTTACGTATTTGCATTAATTTGACAAGTATGAGCCTCGTAAAAAATTTGCATTTACTGTCATTTCTCCAAATACAAAACTTCCATGCACTACTTGAAGAAAACTGAACACTTGAAGAAAGTGAAAGCAAAACGTAACCTGCAGCACTGCTCCATAATTTACAAGTTCATATTAAATGATTTAACACCTAGAAGTTCACTGCTTATTAATTTGATTGTCGGTTTTCGTCATCATTGAGTTGTATTTATTATTACTTTGGCACACCTATATTAACTAGTGTGTTTTCTGCATGCTTCTTCCATGCTAGGAGGCCTTCTGAGTCCAAAAGACATAATGAGGCTGGATCAGCCGCCCCAGTTGAGGCGGGAAGATGGTTACCATAACAACAGTTACCATAACAACGAGGCCCGGCCTAAAAGTGCCACTTTTGATCTCTTCCTATCGCACACTACCTTGCTTTGTTAGTATCATTGTTTGTTTTGATTTGCTTTGCTTTAAGTCTTAAGTCATCTTTTAACTTTTTTTACTTTAAATTTTTTACATATTACCAAGTTTCTACTAGATAATTTTATTGTAATTTAAAATGTGTTCTAATTTATTTCCTTATAAAATATTAGCAATGAAATATTTGAATGAGGTTATAATTATTTTGAGTGAAATTGGAGAATTTGATATGTAGGGATCAGGTATTTGAAGTAGTTAAGTAGTTAGAACTGGGGGGTTATTTAAGCATTGTAGTATTAACTTATTATAAAAATTTATTAAAGCATGAAATGCGTTTCTATGAAAGTAGCTGCTTGATGTTCTTTAATATATCGTATGCCATGATTTATAGGAACAATTATTCCAATAGCCTAGGGCATTTGGGCTGATTAAATTAATAATTTAGATTTGTATGTTATGTTAGTGTAGAAGCAGCATGCGGACAAAAAAAGGCTGGTTCTTGTTTGTTTTTAGTGCATATGTTTACTCTGTGGCTTCTATTTAATCATTATTTGCCAATATTAACTGCCCTAAAGACATAAAAACAAAAATGTTATTTGAAGGGAATGATTGAGAAAGAAACAACATTCTGCAAAATGTATAGATTAAAATATTATCATAAGCTTCATAGACATTGACATTGATATGCACTTGCCAGATTTGCAAAAATACCAGATAATTACTAAGAACGAAATTACTGCAAAGAAAGTATTTCTTGTGTGGAACTATATCTGCAGCTTCTCAAGTTAATGCTAAAATAAGATGACAGTCAGTGCAAAAAGAAACATAATGCATCATAAATTAAGAAGTTAGCATTAGACTGGTAAAGCATATATCTTTACCCATTGTTTATACTGACTACATATGCTTGCATTGGCAGCAAAAGGGATGGATCTTGCTTTTACGTTGCTTTCATTGTCGCCTAAGCTTTTCATCTATTTTTCTCTTTCAAACTGCCTTATATAGGATCAGCATTTTCCCCATCAAAGAATTCCTACACGATTTAGATGATTTTCATTATAATTCTGTGTACAGATATGAAGGGACAGGTTACATATGGCTGTGTTCTATCATTTGAACTTGTTCTTTTCTGGGCTCTTGCAAACAAATTGAATCAGAGAACACTGACCTTTTCCATAGAAAAAGTTAATAAAATTATTTTAGTGAAATTGAAAGAGCTCCCTATTTTAGCTGAAAATCGTAAGCACCTCTTTCCCTTCTACATAAATGTCTGTCCTGAAAATTACATTAAAATTCATGAAAAACATTTCAGATATCTTGTCCAATATGAAACAAACGAAGGTCAATGACAGCATTAAGTGTTTTGTTGTTTGAGGCCACTCTTTAAACAAAATGGAGAAAAAAAAGCCTTTTGGAATACTGCTTTATTGAGAGTGATTGACAAGCACAGCCTATGGGGCCACATATACTGACAAACAATTTTGTTTGTCTACAAAATGTGTATTTTAACCTTAAACTGATAGAAGAAAGCTGATGAAAACTATAACATATGACCAGCAGTGCCCTCAATGTTTGTATTTCAGTAAAGTTTTTATTATTTCTTAAAGATAAAGGTGACAGTAATTGTCTTCAATGGGTATGTTGGAATGTTAGCAATAAATGTTACAGGTACTTCTCTAGCCCAGTAATAATATATATGTCTTTGTCAGTAATAAAAACCAAAAAGAGCCTGTTGACAAACAGAGCTGAGGTTAGTTGGAAATATTTTCTCTGCACTTGGGTTACAAAATTTACAATATATCACTTGCGCAATTTGTTACAGATTGTCACAGTGGTATAACAAACTGAACCAAATGTTGTTATTATTCTTACATAATGTTATAATGTGTTTCTTCATTTCATTTTAGCCAGCCGTGCATCTAGTTATACCCCGAGTTCAGTGTCACCAGTTGTCACCAGACCTGTTAGGCCTCCACCAATGTAAGTACAGGAAATCAAATGCTGTGCTGTCTGTCTGAGTGTCATAGTGCCAAGCTGTCATCAGTGAGAGAGAGAGAGAGAGAGAGAGAGAGGTTGTGATATTATGTGGGTGAGAAATAGAGCATTATAACAGATTAAGTGGTTATATAGTTATGTGTTAATTTGTACAACATTCGAAATTGTAGTTTTTCTTTAGATTTTAACTAATTATTCTATAATGTATCATTAGGCTGAGGAATTATAATATTTAGAAAAAAAGGAATATGGGGATCATAACTTGTATCTTCTTGTTTTATGCAGTTAATAGAATTAATCAAAAATATATCACTTAACATATTTATCACATATAGGATACAATTCTTTCTTTGACTGAACTTTCTGGTTTGCTGTGTATTGTAACAAATAATCGGCTATAACCTGACCAAATATATTGTCATTATCTCCAATATTACTCCAACCACAAACCAAACACTATATACAGATTATGATACCCGCTGATGAAACTTCCTGAAGAGTTCTTTTTCTGTTAAAAGACCCAGATAGCACTTTATCTTGGCTCTAATCTTGGTCCTGGTCAATTGACTCTATCTAGATAACACATTAATGTGGATGTACCTAGATAACACATTGGGTCACACCTATCCAGGTAACACATTGGGTTAAACCTACACCAATACTACATTGTATTACACCTACCCAGATAACACATTGGGTTATACCAACCCCAATACACATTGGTTTACACCTATCCATATAACACATTGGTTTACACCTAACCAGATAACACAAGATTAAATTTGAATGATAGACCCTAGAAAGATAATTAACTCTACCTGACCCTGCCCAGATTGCATCACATTGACATTGTCTAGAAAATATCACATTGGTCCCGAGTAAAAAAACACATCACAGTGATCCTGCCCAGATTATATCACATTTGCTCTGAAATAGTTTATCTTTGTAAATTTATTAGCTGGTGTTGGTCCAGTGCAAATTGTTTTCTGGGTGTTACAGTATACATAATGTTCTGTGATAAAAACTGATATGAATTTAGAATTTGCATGGGTTAAATGATGGATTCCCCCTATGTCATACTGACCCGCTTTCAGTGGTGAGTTTGTGGTTGGATTAATTAGAAATATTGCTGCCTATATATATATATATATTCATATATATCTATTTATCCAATGGCTTTGAGAGAACAGTTCTGTTCAGATGCTCAGTGTTCAAAAATGTCTTTTTTTACTCTTGTGCATACAAAAATTACACTTTGATTATCAAAGAAAAATTGAGAACATAAAAGTAAAAACTGCTTTGATGGCTTAAAACTTTCAGCTTTTTTCCTCAAAATTTTGCTTTGTCTATTGATGAAAAATAATTATAAAGGACAAAAATGCTCAACCATTGGATTTTAACATGCTAATGGATTGCCGTAACATGCGTCTGAGTTGTTTATTGGTTGCAGTGGTGGTGGTCTGAAGAAACGGCAGTCTGCTGATGCAATCTTAAAGCGTTCTGCTAAGGAAGAACTCTCTAAGCTCATGTAAGAGGCTGCTTTATTGCGGTAGCCGAGCACCTGTTTGATAATGTGGCTGTATATTTATATACGTTATATGCGTCAGCTTGTTGTGGTTATATAGGACTGCTTTCTGTGAGGTGGTTAGTGGTTTATTGGCAGTAGTGCATGTAGATGTATAGGCTTTGGCATTGGTGTTGTGGTATGCGCTGGTCGTAGGTTTGGCTAAAGGATACTTAGGGATTAGGATCTCCCCATTAATCCTTGTTTTTCCCTCTGCCAGAGAAAGTTATTATTGCTCAATAGTATAATGTACCCAAATCCATAACCAAATGGCTTATTATAAAGTTTTTGCACTAAATTGATGTATTTTGCATAAATGGCTTACAGTCAGTATATATGAGATTGATTATAATAGCAGAGAAATTTTTTGTCAAAGCTGTAGAAAAAGATAAAAACTATCAGAATTGACCTAAATTTGATATATAATGTTGAAAACTGGGAGAAATTAAGTGCATTTGGGTGATAAATAAATGCCCCCCCCCCCCCAAAAAAAAAAAAAAAAANGAGAGAGAGCAAAGTTGTGATATTATGTGGGTGAGAAATAGAGCATTATAACAGATTAAGTGGTTATATAGTTATGTGTTAATTTGTACAACATTTGAAATTGTAGTTTTTCTTTAGATTTTAACTAATTATTCTATAATATATCATTAGGCTGAGGAATTATGATATTTAGAAAAAAGGGAATATGGGGATCATAACTTGTATCTTTTTGTTTTATGCAGTTAGTAGAATTAATCAAAAATATATCACTTAACATATTTATCACATATAGGATACAATTCTTTCTTTGACTGAACTTTCTGGTTTGCTGTGTATTGTAACAAATAATCTGCTATAACCTGACCAAATATATTGTCATTATCTCCAATATTACTCCAACCACAAACCAAACACTATATACAGATTATGATACTGGCTGATGAAACTTCCCGAAGAGTTCTTTTTCTGCTAAAAGACCCAGATAGCACTTTATCTTGTCTCTGATCTTGGTCCTGATCAATTGACCCTATCTAGATAACACATTACTGTGGATGTACCTAGATAACACATTGGGTCACACCTATCCAGGTAACACATTGGGTTAAACCTACCCCGATACTTCATTGTATTACACCTACCTAGTTAACACATTGGGTTAAACCTACCCCAATACTCCATTGTATTACACCTACCTAGTTAACACATTGGGTTATACCTACCCTGATACTACATTGTATTACTCCTACCTAGATAACATATTGCGTTAAACCAACCCAGAGAACACATTTGCTTACACCTACAACCAAATAACACATTGGTTTACACCTATCCATATAACACATTGGGTTATACCTACCCAGATAACACAAGATTAAATTTAAATGATAGACCCTGGAAAGAATATTGAATCCACCTGACCTTGCCCAGATAACATCATATTGACATTGCCTAGAAGATATCACATTGGTCCTGAGTAAAAAAACACCCAGATTATATCACAGTTGATTAGAAATAGTTTATCTTTGTAAATTCATGAACTGGTGTTGGTCCAGTGCAAATTGTTTTCTGGGTGTTACAGTATAAACAGTGTTCTGTGAATTTCCAATGTGCATGGGTTAAATGATGGTTTCCCCCTATGTCATACTGACCCGCTTTCAGTGGTGAGTTTGTGGTTGGATTAATTAGAAATATTGCTGCCTATATATATACATATTCATATATATCTATTTATCCAATGGCTTTGAGAGAACAGTTCTGTTCGGATGCTCAATGTTCAAAAATGTCTTTACCCTTGTGCATACAAAAATTCAAAGAAAATTATCAAAGAAAAATTGAGAACATAAAAGTAAAAATTATGCTTTGATGGCTTAAAACTTTCAGCTTTTTTCCTCAAAATTGTGCTTTGTCTATTCATGAAAAATAATTATAAAGGACAAAAATGCTCAACCATTGGATTTTAACATGCTAATGGATTGCCGTAACATGCGTCTGAGTTGTTTATTGGTTGCAGTGGTGGTGGTCTGAAGAAACGGCAGTCTGCTGATGCAATCTTAAAGCGTTCTGCTAAGGAAGAACTCTCTAAGCTCATGTAAGAGGCTGCTTTATTGCGGTAGCCGAGCACCTGTTTGATAATGTGGCTGTATATTTATATACATTATATGCGTCAGCTTGTTGTGGTTATATGGGACTGCTTTATGTGAGGTGGTTAGTGGTTTATTGGCAGTAGTAGTGCATGTAGATGTATAGGCTTTGGCATTGGTGTTGTGGTATGCGCTGGTCATTAGGGTTGGCTAAAGGGTACTTAGGGATTAGGATCTCTCCATGAATCCTTATTTTTCCCTCTGCCAGAGAAAGTTATTATTGCTCAATAGTATAATGTACCCAAATCCATAACCAAATGGCTTATTATTGAGTTTTAGCGCTAAATTGATGTATTTTGCATACATGGCTTACAGTCAGTATATATGAGATTGATTATAATAGCAGAGAAAATTTTTGTCAAAGCTGTAGAAAAAGATAAAAACTATCAGAATTGACCTAAATTTGATATATAATGTTGAAAACTGGGAGAAATTAAGTGCATTTGGGTGGTAAATAAATGCCCCCCCCCCCCCAAAAAAAAAAACAAAAAGATAAAAGATGATAATAACAATAATGAAAATTGATCTACTTTCTAACATTGGCTTTTGGTAGTGCTGTCTTAATTACACAGCCAAGTGTTATGTGTCTGACACATGTGGATTAACAGTGCACATAAAAACAATATTTTTAGCAGTAGACGTGTGGCTGTATCTGCATGGGGACAGTTAGACCGCATTCACATCGAGTTAAGCCATGGATCTACAAAGTCACAAACTAAATATGGCGGACGTACATGAAAGGAAAACCGCCTAATCTTTTAATAGTCTCCCCGCCTCTCACACGCCTCCCCATGTGTCGTCCCAATGGAGCCGAGATTTAATGACTGTACCCCCGCAGGGATGATGCGAGGAGAGGCGTGTGAGAGGCAGAGAGACTTTTAAAAGATTAGGCGGTTTTCTATCATGTACGTCCACCGTATTTAGTTCGTGACTTTCTAGATCCATGGCTCAACTCGATGTGAATGCGGTCTTAGATGTTTGTACATTGCTGTGGCATAGGTACTACTGCACAAAAGAACTATAGCCCAAAACAATTGGTCTTAAATTTTTAAACCAAAATTTTAGTCTACTTCGAATTGAGAAATGTCAATAGTCGTCTAATTAAATGACTTACTGTGACTCTTTTATTGCGAAAGACATTGCTCACGTTTTAGACAAAGGTGGACTATTATCATGAAACTAGATCAAACTCAGATACACCTTTTTGTCTTAAGTTTAAGACCAATTTCCCAGCTAAAGTTATTTTGTGGAGCTGTCCCATTGGTGTTTGTTGGAAGGGAGGTGAAATATTTTTCCAGCCTTTACCCTTCCCTCCCCAGCAGAGCCCTGGATCCATCATCACAATAACAGGCCATTGAAGTGTGCTTTTAACTGCTTTACAAATGCTTTGTCAGTTTTATATGGTTGTAACAGCAATATTTTCTGTGATCTGCCATATCCCTAAATCTCAGGCAGTTGCCTGGTAGTAATAATTGAAGATCGCCCTTGTTATTCAGCTTTAGGAAATGGAGTAATTCGTTCAAGCGGCGCCGGTATGTTATCAAAGAGGGCTTTTCTTTCGTTGTGCCATAGCATTCACTGTGATTGGCATGTGCACCTTGTCGTTGTGAGGTGTGACTCGTTCCCAACAGCCACATGAAATTGTTTTCAATGACAAATCTGTTATGCACTTGCAAGGTTGCTGGTTTTCTTGCTGTATGCAGCCAACATGTTTTGCTACAATGTCGCAAATTTTACTTCATTTTTCGACTGTGTTCATTTGTTCTTATATCAATTCATATCTTTTTACTGTGAAATTAATTTTGCAGAAAAGACAGTAAAATTGTTTTAGGTAGCAAAATTTGTTGGTATCTTAATTTTAATTTCTGGGTTTCCAAGGAATTACTTTGCTTTATGTGTGTGATACTAGAAATTTAACACAGGTCAATTATTTCATTGTAGCTGTAAAAATAGTAATAAAGCTAGTTTTCATAATGGAAAATTCTTTTTTATTGAGGTCAGTGTTTAACAGCTAGCCTCTACACTGATGGCATGTACAAAACCATTTGTGATAAATTGACATAAAAATTTGTTTAGGTCTAGTTCTATTATGGACTTGTATGATGTTTTAATCTTAAAGAATGGCCTTATTGGAGATGTGTTTTGATTATATTATCACTTTGAAAAAAGTATTGAAATTAAAAAAATTAAAAATGAGGTTATTTTGTTTAAAATAATTTGTTGTGAGTAGACAAATTAATTTTAGGGAGCTCACTCACGGATTGTATTACATAATATATGCATAATGTGAATGACATTATTGTACAGTTATTTGGCCTTAACAGATGATGCATTGGAAAAACTGAGGGGCATCTCTTTTTGTGGCACACTTAAAGCTTATCTTGGCTGCTGCCACCTGGACTCTGTAGGGCTTTTCTTGATAAAAAGACCTCTTGTGGCATGGTTACTAACTCTCCACTTTGAGTAGTATTGTTCAGTGTGTGTTTTAAATTTCCTGACTTACACAATCGCTTTTGCCCACATCTTTCCACACACAGTTTTGGTGAAGGTTTACGTCTCATACACTCTTATAGTCGGACATTTTTGTCAAAGTCCGAGAAGAGTGTATTAATGTAGTACACATACTAAAGCCATGTTTAAAGATAAAGAATATTGATGCTAAATAGATGGTTAAGGTTAAGAAGTGCCTTGGTAACATAGGTGTATCCTTATGTCACTGTTGCTTTCATTGTCCCTCTTTTGCAATGTTTTATTTTGTTAAGTATACCTTAGACCTTAAGCATCAAGCATCACATCAAATTTATTGAATATAAATTATTCATCCTTTAAAGCATATCAAGTTAGTTTTCTGAATCAAAAGGAAAGTTCTCACAGTTGTATATATTTCTCTCTCAGTGTTGTTTTGAAAACATTTATTTATTTATTTATTTATTTATTTATTTATTTATTTATTTATTTATTTGCCAAAAATTAATAATTTCACTGACTTCATATTTTTCAGGAGCTCCTCTACTGGGAACATCCCTACCACACCCCCCACACCTACGGTCACAGTGCCCAGCAGAAGGTACATTGTTGTAAACCTCGCAGAGATTATTGATAGAGATTATTGATAGTCTAATTGCACAAAATGCACACAGGCAAAGACCCAACTCTTTGCATGATTCCTGTAAAGAACAAATGCAAGTACAGACATATATTAAGAGAGAGGAGCAGATATGTTTATGTTAACATTTGCAACGTGATAGTACATATCGTACAGAAGAAGAGAGATATTAGATATTTCATCTTAATATGTTTTGGCCAATGTAGAAGTGGGGCAACATGTTGTGGCTCCCTAAATTTCACACACACACATACAT